TTCAGTACCAAACCTTGCTCCCAAATTTGCCAAGCACTCCTGCTAGAGCGATCGCGAATCACGACCACAACTACCACTACCACTCCCGAATCATAGGCCAACCCCCAGAGAAATGAGATAAACCCTGGGTAAAAATATGGCATAGCCCTTGCAGCTCTGTTTCCATGTTTTGCCAACACCAAAAGCCCATGATCAGGTTAATGTCCGATTACACTGATCATTTGACCAAAGTTTGGCTATGTGTGGGTGTGGGGGAGGGGCACATGTCCAACAGTGCGCGTGTTCATTTCCCGAACATACAAATAACGCGCGGCAAATGTAGTAGTAATCGTCGTCGTCGTGGTAGTAGTGGTGGTGGTGGTCGTAGTGGTCGCCGTCGTATATAGTAATACTACTACTTGTTATGGTGATAAGTTCTATAGGAGTAGGGGTAGGAATAGGAGAGGGAAAAAAAAATAATAGTACTAATCGTCCTCGTCGTCGTGGTTGTAGCAGTGGTAGTGGCAGTATCTGTCGTAGTGTTTGTATTAGTGGTAGTATTATTGGTAGTCGTGGTGGCCGTAGCGCTAGCAGTAGCAACGCAGCACTACTACTACTACTACTACTACTACTACTACTAGTAGTACTACTTCTACTACTACTACTACTACTACTACGACTACTACTACGACTACGACTACGACTACGACTGCGACTGCGACTACGACTACGACTACGACTACGACTACGACTACGACGACGGCTACTACTGCTACTACCACGACGACTATGACTACTGCCACTACTACTACCACTACTACTACTACTACTGCTGCTGCTGCTGCTGCTACTACTAATACTACCACCACCACCACCACTACGACGACGACTACTACCACCAGTGCGACGACAACAGCAACAACAACAACATCTACTACTCCGACTCTCACTACTACTACTACTACTACTACTACTACTACTACCACTACTCCTACTCCCACTACTACTGCTACTACTGCTATTGCTACTGCTGACGATTACTACTGCTACTACTACTACTACTACCAGTGCGACGACAACAGCAACTACTACTTCTACAACTACAACTACAACTACAACTACTTCTACTGGTACTGGTACTGGTACTGCTACTGCTAGTGCTAGTGCTACTCCTACTACTAGTACTACTACTACTACGTTTACTAGTACTACTACTACTACTACTACCACCACCACTACTACTACAACTACTACTACGACAACTCCTACGACAACGACGCCGACTATTACGACTACTACGATTACGACTGTGACTGTGACTACTACAATAAAATGTTACATTACTACAAACACTATGGCGACGGCGACGGCTACTACTGCTACTGCTACTACCACTGCTACGACTACGACGACGACCACCACCACTATGTCAACGACTGCGACCCCGAGTGCCACAACTACGGCTACGGCTGGGACTACCATACGTCTTCTACGCTGCGACTACGACTGCGACTGCGGTTGTTAGACTGCTATTGAACCGCTACCACGCCCACCGCAGCCACCAAGAACAAGCTCTTGCCACCCATGCCAGAACAACGACCTGACAGCATGACGGCACGCAACATTATGAAAACAACCATGTTTCACGCGTCGGCATGATGACATGCTAGCACGTTGGCGGGAACCGTGCGTGAGTACTACGTTGCTTGTGCACGTTAGCGTCACCGAATAGAACAGTATAACCATGCTGCTGGCGCACAGGAGGCTAAGCTACGCCCTCCCGAACTCCTGGGAAGAGTCCAGTCCAAGGAAATGGCCCAAGGAAGTCAGAGGGCGACTAGATATTCGACTCGAAAAGAAACTATATTCGGAAGTTCGAAATGCAAATCACCAAAGATGCAGTTGTTAAGTACCCAGTTGCAAACAACTGCATACCGTAACCTTTTTCGGAACTTGCTCGGGAACTTTTGCCGGGACTTGCTCCAGAACCTGCTCCGCAACCTGTTTTGGGAACTGGCTTCGGGACTCCAGGCCCTGCGCCGGAATTTGTTCCAGTACCTACTCCAACACTTGCTATAGAATGTACTCCGGAACCTGCTGCGGAATCTGTTCCAGCACTTGCTCGGGGATTTGCTCAGGTGCTCCGGAACCTGCTCAACGGAAGCTACTTCAGAGCGTATACTCCGGAACTTGTTTAGGAACCTGCTGCGAGATTGGTTCCAACCTGCTCTGAAATCTTTAAGTATGGTCCCCAGGTTTCCCTGTTGGGGAACGGGAAGCGCGCTTGCAAATTTTGTGGGCAGTCCTTTCAGCCGTGCGAAATCTCACAGAATCAATTTCCAGATTCTTCCCCAACGTCATATATTAATATCGATTCATTATATAGATGTTCTATGATATTCTGACAACAAACAGTATGAACTTGGTACGTACATCCAATAGATTTGCTAGCGCTGCCTGCACTCATGGATCCAATGATTCAAGCGTCGGCGGCGCGTCGGCTTGTGTCTCGCGCAACAGTGCATGTTGGAAGCACCACATCTTCTCCCACGTGGCCATTTGACGGAAGGATCTCATGCCCGTGGTGTTTGCGACAGATCCATCCCACAGGGAGGTTCCCAACGACAGATCTCATGAGCCTTGCGACATAGTATACAGGACGCTACTAGGAGCAAAGGGCATCGCTACTAGGAGCAAGGGCCTTACTAATAGCAACAAGAAGCTAGTAGACATCACATCTCGGTAATGGCTTCTTGCTCCTAATAGTAAGGCCCTTG